ATCGCCAGCCTTGGAGCACCCATGGGTGCCTTTCCTTGGCCACCCTGCGGGCTCGTGCTGCGGCCGCACGCTCGCTGCTCCCGTTCCAGCGGCATTTGGCCCTTTGCTTAGTGAGAGAGCCGTACCCCTTCTCCTGTCGCTTCTCTTGTTTTTCGTTTCACAAAGTACTGCACCTGGGGTGGTTTTCTCAGGATGTGTAAGACAGGGCTCCTGAAGCTTCAAAGAGAGCTGAGAAGTTGGCCACTGGAAAGAAAAGAAAGTACAACTATAATCTCTATATATACTTACGGCTTTTAGCATGGTAACACAGCAAGAACCTCCAAGTATTTTAAAAGCAGAATTAGCAATAATATCTCCTTTCCCCCTTTCCTAAAGCAAGACATGTTGTTTATAGTGTCTTGCTTGCGTTAGTTCGTTATTACTTATCTGTGCAGTGGCAGTGTGCAGTTTTCTGATACCCACAGCGCCGTGGAGGAGCGATGGAGAGCAGCACTCCTCTCCAGAGGCAGCAGGACAAGCCTGTACCTTACCTCTGGTCTCCACAGGCACTCTGTATGCCATGCAAAACCAAGATAGGATGAGGAAAGGAGTTTATTTTCCCGTGGTGCCTTTGCGGGGCTATTGTAGCACGCAGATTTTGTGAGGCTGCTTTGGGATCCTACGTGCCTGTCTCTGGGCTGTGGGTTAGCAGACTGCCTGCGTTCTTATTTGCTAAAAGAAACTTCCAATGAATTTTCTCTTTTTTCATGACCCAAAATGTTGCTGAATCTTTCCTAGGGGCAGGCACACAGAGGAATGAGAAATACGTCCTTTAACAGAGGGTTTTTTTAATGGTAGGAGAAATTGTTTTGTTGGCAAAGAACATCTTACATACAGGTTCTGTTTGCCTAGGGCATGGCAGGCTTGTGCAATGAGTTACCACTCCCTTTCACTGCTGAGCTGCTTATTAATTACACAATCAAATGGCAATGACTTAACAAAAAATCATACTGTTCTTCTATTCAAATAGATAATGGTGTCGGGTTCATGGTCACTTTACTAGTGGCCATCTCAGTGTTTGCCTGCAGGAGAGATCACCATGGAAAATATTGGTCTTTGTGACATGATGCCTGAGGCCCAACTACAGTGACAAAACTAAACCAAAAGTCATCAACAGGCAAAACTTCCCCACTATGCAAGCATGGATCCACTGAGGAAACCCGAGAAGCTCCAGTTATTCTGCCTTGGGGGTTTGACAGAGACGTGTCCATTGTCAGGAGGGCCAGGACTGTCCCTCCCTTCAGCTATGACTGCCCCAGCCCTCCACTGCCTACAAATGTGCCGTTTGCTGATAACGTACAGCTCTGACCTGAAGGTTGGGTGGAAGTGTCCGGAGCCCCAGGAAGGGAAGCATTTTACTTCTGGGACCATACATCAACTTGGACAGTGTGTGAAACACATTAAGAGGAAAGCTCCTCCATTTCCACTATTGTACCCCAGAAAAAGCTGATACAAGGAAGGCCCTGGTGCCCTCACCTCAACTGAAGAAGGAGCAAAAGGGATGGAGAGGACTTCAGTTCATGCTTCTGTTCTCTCTTTTGCTCTATGCACATACTGATGCTCCCACAGGTCATATTTGCAGAACCGAGCATGAATCCCTCTATGACTGCAAGGTAGTAATTAAATTAAATCTAACATTTGCTGCGTCCCCTTATCCGTTAGGTTATCTGTTGCCTCCTCTTGGGTTTTCATCATGAAGCAGAATAGCTGCAGGCAAGAGAATCCCTCCTTGTTATCCTCAAGGTGGGACTGGATCGGATTTTGAAGGGCAATAGGTGATGCAGCGCTGCTGTAGCGGCAGAAGGGCTGGCCTGGGAGGCCCTGTCCATGGAGGCGCTGAGGGAAGCCTGGTGCCTCACCAGCTACTGGAGGCACCACTTGAAAAACAACAGGCATATGGGGTGGAGTTTTGCCATAGGTTTCCCATGTAAATGGGAGTTCCAGCTGGGGTGATTATAAAGAAGAGAGCATTAAGAGCAGCTTAATAGAGCCCGTCCCAGTGAGCGGGTCAGCATCCCCGGGGGGGAGGACGGGTCAGCTCAAGCAGGGACCAGCGGGGTGCGCGGCGCCCCTCCCACCCAAACCCGAGCTTTCCCCCGTCCGTGGACGCCAGCCACCTGAGGCAGGGCGCCCACAACCCTCGGGGGAAGGAACGAAGGAAGAAAGAAAGGAAGGCCGGCACACGGGCCCTGACAGCCGGCTCGCTGCCCGCGCACACCAGCAGCGG